AACGAGGGGAGGTAAAGACCTGACAGGGAGCCAGACGGGACCGCTGGACACGGTAGGACAGTGGAGTAGTGGGCAAGGACAGGACCCCTAGAGGGGTCTGCCAGGGAGACTGCAACGGGCCGACTGAGTGGCGTGAGAGTGGTGCAGTCTCGAAAGAAGGAGCGGGAAGCACCCGAGTCAAGGGTGAAGGTGAGGGTGTCCGGAGACGATTCAGTACCTGAGAGCGCAGACTCACCGGCACCTGGGGCAGCAGACGCACTGGCACCTAGAGCAGCAGCCTCACAAGCACCTAGTGCAGCAGCCTCTATGCCTGGGTCAGGCGGAAAACACCGGTAACAGTCACCCTCATCACTAATAGTCACAGCATACATGGCAGCAAGAATAGCATCATAATCAAGATCAAAGATAGGAACCCCCACCCTAGGCAGCTCACCCCAGCGAGGGATCTTAGTGGCCTCAGGGAACTGGTGACGCCAAGCGTCCGTCAGGCGGCCAAAGCAACGCTGGGTGGAGTGCGCACCCCCACACTGCTCACCCGCGTGGTCGCCGGTGCGCAGGACGTAGGTGCACGGACCAGTACCCCCACCCCGCTGACGTGCAGCGTACCACTCACGAAGCTGCTGAGGGGGGGGGATCTCACGAGCGCGCTGCTGCTGCTGCTGGCGCTGACCACCACCGGAGCCAACCCTCTGTGCAGCGCCACCCCGACCAGCTCCACCTCCTCCGCCGCTACCTCCTCCACTACCGCCACCTCCGCCACCTCCGCCCCCACCGCCACCCCCACCCCCTCCACCACCTCCACCTCCGCCTGCACCGCCCCCGCTAGCTCCTCCAGCACCCTTGCCCCCCTTGCCCTTGCCAGGGCGGCGTCTCCCGCTAGGGGCAGACGCCGCAGCGACCGACTCAAGACCAACGAGGTCGGCCGCAGCAGCAGAGGCAACAGAGGGCAGGAGGGGAGAGGGGGAGCACCCCTCAAAGATAGGGGTACGAGGGTCACCACGAGAGGCTCCTACAGCGACTATGCTCTTCTCTGCCGCTAGAAGGCGCTCCTCGAGGAGGTCAACGGTGAGGGTGGTGGGGCAAACAGAGAGGAAGTGGTCCCTGACCGGGCGAAGGGTGTCAGGGAGCCGGGTGACTATGTAGTAGAGGGTGATGTACATGGGGGGGGGGTTCTTGGCGCAGAACTCAGCAGGAAGCGCAGCGCGGTAGCGAGTGTCACTAGTGCGAAGGTGCGTAATGAGGTCAGCGACAGTGGGAAAAGCGGCGAGGTCAGGGAAGAGGTACGGTAGGATGAGGCGGCTAAGCGCAGCAGTGGCAGGGGAAGAGTAGCGTGCAACTACAGCGTCGTACAAGGTCTTAGCACTCTTGTACTGGCTAAAGTGCGCACGCTCAGCGGTCGGCAAGTGGCGGCGCACAGCAAGGCGGGCAGCAGCATCGCGCGTGGCCCACTGTGAGCGAACAGTGGCGTCAGCATCAGCAGCAGGGGCAGGAGAGGCACCAGAAGTGAGGTCAAAGAGGGAGAGACCGTCTGCTCTATCGCTCAGCAGGAAAAGCTGCAGGTCATCTACCCAGACGTCAAAGTCAATGGCCCGACCCTCAGCGTCAAAAGTGAGGACACTAGGGGCAGCCATGACAGCAGTAGACTAGCAGTGCGAGCAGCAGGCAAGGGCAGAGCAGTGGTGGAGGCGCTGCTCTTACTGGGCAGGCGAAAAGGACCGAAGCTCGCCGACAGGAACAGGGCCGCGACGGTAGTAACGGCGGCTCGGCGGCTCAGCGGCTCGGCAGCTCGGCGTCAGTGGCGGCTCGGCGGCTCGTCAGCACGGCGGCAACGGTGGCTCGGCAGCGCCTGCAGCTCAGCGGCCGCGGCGGCTCGGCGGCGCCGGCGTCTCGGCGGCTCGGCTGCTCGGCGGGGCCGCGAAGGTGTGGCGACGGGGCCGCAAAGGGCGGCGGTGGGGTCGCACGGGTGGGGCGACGGGGTCGCGGGCGGCTGCGGCGACGGGATCGCGGGCGGCCGCGGCGACGAGGTCGCGGGCGGCTGCGACGGCAGGGTCGCGGGCGGCTGCGGCGACGGGGTCGCGGGCGGCTGCGGCGACGAGGTCGCGGGCGGCGCGAAGGGCGACGGGGCCGCGACGGGCGGCGGTGGGGTCGCGGGCGGCTGCGACGAAGCCACGAGGGGCGACGCGGGGGTCGCGAGGGTGGGGCCGCGGGGTCGCGAGGGTAGGGCGACGGGGCCAGCAGAGGCGGCGTCGGGGCCGCGAGGGCGGCGAGGAGGGGCCGCTAGGGCGACGCGACGGGACCGCTAAGGGCAGTGAGAGGGGATCGCGACTCGGGCAGGGGCGGAGTGCGCTCCGGGCAGGAAAAAAAAAGTCGGTGGGCCCTAGGAACAGTTCCCACGAGGGAACCTGCTCTATACCATGTGAAGACTAGAACGAGGAATGATTGCATTGAGCAGCATGAGGAGTACAAGTACCAAACCCTAGAATGTTGTACCCCATTGAGCTACCCCACTATAGCCTACACAGACTATAGTGCATGAGTTTGACAGTTAGCACCTCTGGCGGTTTTGTCCAGACTCGCCGAGGCTTTTGTCGTGTTTCGCCGATGTTCTCCGGGCAGGGATGAAAATTTTACAGCTGTTCCCCCCCCCTTCCACTGTTGCGGTTGCCTCCTCTAGTTCGTCGAATGTCTCTCCCCCTAAAAATTTCATGTACTTCTTGCGATGTTGCCCTGCGGCGGTGTTGCGCGCATTTAACCAAACGCCGTAATACTTCAACAAAATTGTCATCTCTCCTCGCCGTAAAACCGGCAAGTCTTCGTAAGTGTCCGTAAATGTCGGGGCAAAAACAACCCCGTAATTCATCGGTTGCTGGTGCAATTCTCCTTCAAAATCTTCGAACATAGTGTAACTGCCCACTCGGTCACCAGTAGTTTTCGTCAGTTCACCCAACCCCAGCATGTGGGCGTAAACAAGAACCAAGGATTTGCCCTGGGTTATTCGGAGACCAAATTTCACGGAACCTAGCGCACATCAACGCCGTTGACCCCGTCGTCGAGCTGCCCCACATGATACTTTTTAAAACGCGAGTCTAAATTTGACAAGCACAGGTTCATACGTGTTTGTTTTGAACCAGGCTTGCCAGCGTGGAAGTTTTGGCTGGCGAAAATCAGGACTTTGTACGGACAATTTTCTTCCGCATTAAAAATTTGCAAGGTTTTAGGGTTTCGGGTGTCAAATGTGCAACGTCGCTTTAACAAAATACCATGTTTCTCCCACCGGCGCTTTGCAGATATTGCACCCATCACTCGTCGTCGGCAGGTAAGTCCCGTAGTTTTGGCTTGCACCCATCGCTCGTCGTCGGCAGGTAAGTCCTGTAGTTTCGGCTGTCTCAGAATAACTAGGCAAGAATGAATGAACTAGCAGAAGTTTGGGTACAAATATGAAACCCTAGTTGGGGTTGTACCCCATATTGGCTACCCCACTACAGCCTACCAACATATAACACATTACAATTTAACACACCCCCATAGGCAAAGTGGGGGAGAACAAAGGGTCACAAGACCAGTCCAGCAAAGCAACGCAAGCCCAGGGTGGATCACAACGTCACCACACTCCGAGCACAAGCAAAGGCCACAAGGCCAGTTCACATGCAGTGCTAGATATAGTACAAGACAAGCAACACAGTGATCAAAACCTAGCAAGCAAGCAACAAGATATATATAAAGTACAGTACAAAGAATGTCAAGCAGTGAGCAAGTGAGGAAACGTGGACACAAGGCCTAAAGAAGTACAGTGCCGCTGATGATCACTAGGCGGGAGCGCCTTGGTGAAGATATCAGCAGTGTTGGCCTTCGAGTCCACGTACACAAGCCGAAGCTGACCGCGCTGCTGAAGCTCTCGAGCAAGAAAGTAGCGAAGAGCAATGTGCTTCATCCTGTGCTCCAGTCTGTGCTCCTGACACAAGGCAAGAGCCGCCTTGTTGTCACCGTACAGAACTGGAGGAGAACTAGGCCGCTCTCCCAAGTAAGTCAGCAGGTAGGTGAGCCAGCGTAACTCCTGTGCAGCCATGGCTGTGGCGTAGATCTCAGCCTCACAACTAGAGCCGAGAACAGAGGAAGAGCGGGTGGACCGCCACGAGACAGAACCAGAGCCAAGGCTGAAGGTGTAACCCTGTGACGACCGCTGCGTAGCCAGGTCGTCCACCCAAGAAGCGTCCGAGTGGCCAGTGAGGACAACTCTGTCGCGTCCTCCAAGCACCAGCCCCATGCCTGATGTACTGCACAAGTAGCGCAGCACCCTCTTAGCAGCCTCCCAGTGCTCTCGCCTGTGTCTCCTAGGCGCAACGTAACGAGCAAGGATGCTAAGAGGGTACGCGAGGTCAGGTCGCGTGCAAGTCATCAGGTACATGAGGCAGCCCACAAGCTCTGGGTACGGGCCACTCGGCTCTACGGACTCGTCCGAAGGTGGAGCTGAGAGCGAGTGGCTGGTAGCCAGAGGTGTGGCCTGTGGTGAGGAGAACTGGAAGCCGAAGCGCTGAAGGACCTGCTGCACCATGTGTGACTGAGTCAGGGTGATGGTGCGGCGAGCTCTGTCCCGGGTGATCTGCAAGCCAAGGTAGCTACGCAGCTCACCCAGGTCAGTGCAGGTGTGTCTCTTCTGCAGCTCCGACTTCACACGAGCGAGTGCCTCAGTGTCAGCAGTAGCAAAGACCAAGTCGTCGACGTACACGAGAATGTAGAACGGCGGCAGCGACGTGTCTGTGCGCAGAAACAGCGACGGGTCAGCAGTAGACGGCGCGAACCCAAGAGCCGCAAGTGTAGTCCTCAGTGTGTCGTGCCACTCGCGTGGTGCCTGGCGGAGACCGTAGACTGGCCGGCGGAGGCTCCACTGGGTACCAGGAGGAAACGACCCAGTAAAGCCAGGTGGGCGGCGCAGCCAGATCTCCTCGTGCAGGCTGCCCTGCAGGAACGCTGTGCTGAAGTCAAGAGAGTGAAGCTCGTAGTCACGCTGAGCAGCAACGTGCAGCAGAACCCGAAGAGTGGTCATCTTCGGGGTGGGGGAGAAGGTCTGGAAGAAGTCGACCCCCTGACGCTGACTGAAGCCTCTAGCAACGTAACGAGCCTTGAAGACAGGCGGAGAACCTGGCGGCCGCTTCACCCTGAAAATCCACATGCCATCGACGATGTTCGCCCCAGGAGGGGGAACCTCGTCGACGTAGGTGCCTGTGGACTTCCAGGATGCCATCTCTGCGTCCATGGCTGTCTGCCACTGAGAGGAGTAGGGACCCGAGATCGCCTCTGCGTAAGTGCGCGGAGTGGGGATGTCTAGTGCATCCGGGTCTCCCTCAGGGGCAAGCAACCAGGCCACGAGATGAGGTACAGCAGCCGCGAGAGAGTCAAAGTCCTCCTGCCTGTCCTCAAGGACGTCCGTGCCAAGAGCACACTCACCCCCGACGGATGGAGGACAGACAGACGCAGACTCAGACCCAGCAACAAGGCGAGCAGCGTAGTCTAGACGACAGGCAGCAGCAAAGTCAACCAACTCAGCGACCAGAGCAGACGCAGCCGAGGACTCAAAGGTAGGGTCAGTGACAACAGTAGCTAGGAGACGCGTGACAGTAGGGTGCTCAGCACGATACCTGTCAGACTCAGGGTCCGGAACAGCAGGCAAAGAGGACGCAGGAGGAGACGGCAGAGGGACACGCTGAGGAGCAGTAGAGGGACGCAGAGTCATGTAGTGAGTGCCTGGGACAGGAGGAGGACGCTCACGACGGACACGACGACCAGTGCGAGCAGTACGGACAGGCGACGCAGGACGAGACTCAGGCTCACGACGCTCTGTAAGACCTCCTGTGGGACCAGTGTAAGGAGAGGGAGCAGGGAGAGGCGAGGCAGGCGGTAACTGTGACTGCGGCTGGACAGTCGGAGGACACTCTACGGAGGGAGGAGGACAAGGAGGAGGAGCCTGCCCAAGAACCTGCTGAAGGAGCGGTACGAAGTACGGTCGCGGCCGCGCAGCGTCTCCAGAAGCAGAAGAGACTCCAGCGTCCGGGTCCCCAGCACCAGCAGCAGCGCCACCGCTCGGGTCCTCAGCTCCAGCAGCAGCTCCACCAGGTGGGTCCGCAGCACCAGCAGCAGCACCACCCCCAGGGTCCGCAGCACCGCAAGGAAGAGCACCCCCAGAGTCGGCAGCTACAACTCCGCTAGCGCCGCCAGCTCCAGAGTCCCCAGCTCCAGCAGCTCCAGTCGTAGTGCTCCCAGAACAACCAGTCCCGGCAGCTCCAGTACCCCCAGCTCCAGCCGAGCCACTAGGACGGCGAAAGCGCCGGACGTACCAGTCACGAAGCTGCTGTGGTGTGAGAGACTGCTCAGCACCCCGAACCGGAGCACCCCCAGACGCAGCAACCCGAGGCTCCGTAGGCTCAGTAGCAGCACCCCCAGGCTCAGCACCCCCAGACTCCGCACACGCCGGCTCAGCACCCCCAGTCGCAGCACCCCCAGGCTCAGCACCCCCAGGCGCCGAACTCTCAGGCACAGTACCCTCAGCTCCAGCACCCGTAGTCCCAGCACCCCCAGGCCCAGCACCCGCAGGCTCAGCACTCCCAGCAGCACCACCTGCAGCAGCACCTGAGTCACCTGTGACCTCGACAGGCTCAGCGACGGGAGGAGGGTCTACCTGAGAGACACCTGAAGGAGCAGGACCCTGAGGGGGGAGGGGGTCTACCGGAGGGGGACCAGGAGCAAGGAAAAGCGGCGGGGGAGGGAGGGGGGCAGTACGGTAGGGGAAGAGACGGTAAAAAGGGACCGACTCGTCAAAGGTGACGTCCTGAGAGGCGAAGACCCGGCGCGAGGTGGGGTGGTAAAACTGCCAGCCCGGCGCGTCAGGGACAAAGCCAAGGAAGACACAGGGAAGCGTGCGGGAGGAGAGCTTGTCCGCGGACGTATCGCGGACAAGGGCACGAGCACCCCACACCCGGAAGCGCGACGCATCGCCAACCTCCCCCGTCCAACGCAGTGTGGGCGAGGTCTCCGGCAAGGAGACACGGGGCCAGAGGTTGAGCTGATGCGCGGCGTACCGGACAGCAAACGGCCATAGAAAATGGGGAGCCGCCGCGTGGACCAAGGAGGTACGAGCGACCTCCATGACCAGGCCAATGCGGCGCTCAGCAACCCCATTCTGCTGTGGGGAGTCCAGAAGCGTGAAGGTCTGCTCGATGCCCTCCGCCTGACAGAAGGTCCTCAAGAGGTCGGAGGAAAACTCACCACCTCTGTCAAAGTGCAGACGCAGGACAGGAAGATCCGTCCGGAAACGGCGGCGGAGCTGGAGACGAACTGTGCGGATCCAAGGGATCAAAACAGCAGGGACCTCACCCTTGGTGCGCAAGGGGAAGACCGTGGTGTAACGCGAGTAGTCGTCGACAACCAGCAAAAAGTACCGCTCACCGCCCTGGCCACGAACGCGGGCTGGGCCCCACACGTCCAGGTGGAGGGTCTGCAGAGGAGCCTCTGTCGGGGGGAACGAGGAGGAGTGAGGAGCGGCGCGCTGCCGCCCCTCGACGCAAGGAAGGCAAGGCGGCGCAGGCGAGGAAGGGAGAGGAGGGAGGGACCTGGGAAGACCAGACACAAGGCGGCGACGGTGCATGCCACGGAGGCGTGGCAAGGAGGGGTGACCCAGGCGGTGGTGCCAGAGAAGAGTCTGGTGCGACAGGGAACGACACTCACAGGCGTGGGCCACCAGACCTGACGCGGACACCTGACCGACAGCAGCGACCTGAGGAGACGCAGTGGTCAGTGTGTAGAGACTCGACCCCGGCCGACGAGTAAACGTAGCCAGGTGACGGCCGGTCCTGGAGCACGTGCAGATCGCCACACGCTGTCCTCCAGGGGTAAAGGTGTCAACCCACTGATCCTGGAGGACAGCGTTGCTCACCAGGTTCGTCGAGAACGAGGGGAGGTGGAAACCCGTCAACGAGCCAGACGGAACCGCCGGACAAGGGAGCACAGTGGTGGACTGGGCAAGGACTGGGCCCCCAGAGGGGTCAGCCAAGGAGACTGGGACCGGTGCAGGAAGCGGTGTGAGCTCAGTACTGTCTCGAAAGAAGCAGCGGGAAGCACCTGAGTCAAGGGTGAAGGTGTGACAGGTCTCAGCCGGTGCAGTACCTGAGAGAGCAGTCTCTGTGGGTGCTGTACCTGAGAGAGCAGACTCGCAAGTAGCAGGGACAGTACTGGAGGGAGCAGCCACAGAGGGCACCATACCAGAGAGAGCAGACTCACTAGTACCTAGGGCAGCGGGCTCTATACCTGGGTCAGGCGGCACACACAAGTAACAGTCTCCCTCGGCACTAACAGTCAATGCATACATGGCAGCAATAATAGCATCATAGTCAAGAGCAAAGATATCAACCCCAGCCCTCATCAGCTCAGCCCAGCGAGGGCGCTCAACATCCTCGCCCATCTCCTCACGCCAAGCGTCGTCAAGGCGGAAGAAGCAGCGGTACTGAGTGTGGAACTTTCCACACGTCTGCCCCTTGCGATCACCTGTGCGAATGACATAGGAACAGCGGCCACTGCCCCCCGACGTCCCACGCTGAGCAAGCCACTCACGAAGCTGCTGGGTCGACTGGGGACGCTGCTGCTGCTGGGAGCTCTGGCCCGAGCCGGTGCCTCCACTCCGACCTCCACCGCCGCCACTACCTCCGCTCCGACCGCCACCACCGCCACCGCCACCGCCACTACCGCCACCGCCGCCACTGCCGCCGCTGCCACCACCGCCACTGCTCCCGCCGCCGCCCCCGCCTCCGCCGCCGGCCCCACTCCCACCGGCACTCCCGCCACCGCTCCCTCCAGCACCGCCTCCCCCCCCACCTCCCCCACCCCCTCCCCCCCCAGCGCCACCCCCGCCACCCTTGCCCCCCTTGCCCTTGCCGGTGCGGCGCCTCCCACCAGGAGCAGAAGCAGCGCCAGCAGACTCAGCACCAAGGAAGTCAACAGCAGCAGCAGTAGCATAGGAGGGAGCGAGGGGAGAGGGAGAGCACCCCTCAAAGATGGGGGTGCGAGGAGCGCCGCGAGCAGCACCAACAGCTACAATGCTCTTCTCGGCTGCTAGCAGCTTCTCCTCTAGGAGGGCGACAGTGAGCTCAGTGGGACAGCGAGCAAGGAAATAGTCGCGCACTGAGCTGAGGGTGTCAGGGAGACGGGTGACTATGAAGTGGAGTGCCCAGTACAGGGGAGGGGGGTTCTTAGCGCAGAACTCGGTGGGAAGGGCGGCACGCAGGCGAGCATCACTAGTGCGAAGGTGGGTGATAAGATCGGCGACTGTAGCAAAGGTGGACAGGTCAAGGAACAGGTAAGGCAGCATGAGACGGCTAAGCTCGGCTGTGGCAGGTGAGGAGTAGCGAGCAACGACAGCGTCGTATAGGGCTTTAGCGGTTTTGCAGTCGCCAAAGTGCTCTAGCTCAGCTAACGGCAGGTGACTGCGAATAGCCAGGCGAGCTGCAGCGTCACGAGTCTGCCACTGTGAACGTACACTAAGCTCGGCTGTGGCAGCAGGAGCAGCGGCAGCACCAGACGCGTAGTCATAGAGGGAGATGTGGTCCGTGCTATTGCTCATAAGATACAACTGCAGGTCGTCGAGCCAGGAAGTGAACTGCACGGGACGGCCCTCAGCATCGAAGGAAAGAACGCGAATAGAGGCCATAGCTCAGGCGTGAGGGCACAGCAGAGCAGCGGCAGCAGCAGAGGGGACGCGCTAGAGCGAAGCTAGCAGCCACAGCAGGAGCAAGCGGCGGTGCACAGGCAGGGAGCAGCAGGCGAGGCGGGCGGCGCTGCAGGCGGGCAGCGGGGCGGGCGGGCGACGCGGCGAGCGGGCAGCGCGGCGGGCGGCTGCGAAGCGGGCAGCGGGCGGGCGGGCGACGCTGCAAGCGGGCAGCGGGCGGGCGGGCGACGCTGCAAGCGGGCAGCGAGGCGGGCGGGCGACGCTGCAAGCGGGCAGCGGGCGGGCGGGCGACGCTGCGAGCGGGCAGCGAGCGAGCGGGCGACGCTGCGAAGCGGGCAGCGGGCGGGCGGGCGGCGCTGCGAGCGGGCAGCAAGCGGGCGGGCGACGCTGCGAAGCAGGTAGCGGGCGGGCGGGCGGCGCTGCGAGCGGGCAGCGAAGCGGGCGGGCCGCGAAGCGGGCAGCGAGCGGGCGGGCGGGCTGCGAAGCGGGCAGCGGGGCGAGCGGGCTGCGAAGCGGGCAGCGGGGCGAGCGGGCGACGCTGCGAGCAGGCAGCGCGGCGGGCGAGGGGCGAGCGGGCAGCGTGGCGGGCGGGCGACGCTGCGAGCGGGCGGCTCGGCGGGCGGGCGACGCTGCGAGGGGCGCGCGAGGGCGCTAGCGAGGGGCGCGCGAGGGCGCTAGCAAGGGGCGCGCGAGGGCGCTAACGAGGGGCGCGCGAGGGCGCTAACGAGGGTGCGCGAGGGCGCTAACGAGGGGCGCGCGAGGGCGCTAACGAGGGGCGCGCGAGGGCGCTAACGAGGGCGCACGAGGGCGCTACGAGGCTAGGGCACGGGGTAGCGTGGTAACCGCATGCGAGCGGTGGTGGGCCCTTAAAAAAAAACGGTCGGTAGGTCCTAGGGACCTCCTGCTCTGAATACCATCTCAGAATAACTAGGCAAGAATGAATGAACTAGCAGAAGTTTGGGTACAAATATGAAACCCTAGTTGGGGTTGTACCCCATATTGGCTACCCCACTACAGCCTACCAACATATAACACATTACAATTTAACAGGCTGCTCCCGCTTTCCTTCTGAAGAATTTCACAAGGTGTGTATTTAAACACCAACCAACGAGTCCTAGGTTTCCCGGCCGAAGCTTTCCCACGTTCGAGTTTGTCCAATTAGGCATTTGTCTGTGTTACCTGCGCGATAATCCGGCTACGGCGAAGGCGCAAAAACTATCAAAGTTGGGGTATCCTTGGTTAAAAGGAACTCACACCCAACCGTTTTGCAACCCACCAGCCTGTCATGCCACGTAGTACCGCAGCTCCCAGGTCTCAGCTTGCTGCTGCGTCGTCAAACGAGTAGACGTCTGGGTCAGGAAAAACCTCGAAACCGTGCCAATGTTCTTCCCAGCTCCCCGATTTGTCCGCGTGCTACTTCACCCAGCCCGCTTATTTCGGAGTAACATAGTGCCGCGTACTCCTCTTTTTTGTTTTGTTTTGTTTTTTGTTTTTTTTTTTTTTTGTTCTTGTTTTTGTTTTTGTTTTGTTTTTTTTTTACAGTTGTCAATCAAGCACCAAACCAGGTGCCTTTAACCAGCACAGGGTAGGCACGTGTTCACCCCCGTTGTTTGACCGAATCAGGTCGACGCCATGAGTCGGAACCAGTAATCGGTGGGGATGGTGAGGTTCGGGTGGCGGAGGCTGCACGTCGTTTCTACTGGCTTTTCCCTGCTCCTCGCGTCGTTCTTCAAACCCTGCTTAGACGTCGGGCAGTTCCTTCCTGTGTGTCACGGCGGCCTGTACCACACTCCTCAGTAAAAGTCAGGGTGGTACACTGAACACCGTTTAATTGTGGGTTGTTGCGGCTGTCCCCGAAATTGCTTCCCGAATGGGGAAACATGTCTCGAAACTGTCGGACAGCTGGCAACAGTACCAGCCACGCAATGTCGAGCGAGTATTTTCGAGATGTTCAATCTCGAGTTGCCCTTGCCGCTTGTACCCTACTTCCGCTAAGTGTGATTTAGCCACTCTGCTGTTTTTTGCAGCCCGTAAGTGTTGGAGGGTCCAAAGTTCCCGTCTGTCTACGTGCACTTCTGCCAAAATCTTTGATGACGCGCCGACCATGTAGTAAAAGCCGATGCACATAACAGGTTGGGCGGGACGGTAGTTGACTCAAGCATAATTCGGGTAGTCTTTGTATCGTCTCTCATCGCCACCGACATTTTCAAATGCAAAAACTCCATTTGCGCCTAGTGAGTTCTTCTAGCTTTCGTTGTCTCTAGAAGCTCCGAAATTGTCGCCCATACTGACGCAGGGCCATTGTTGTCAGCTGCCGAAGATCATTTCGAGAATCTCGCGCACAAGTTGACGACGAGGCACCGTCGTTAACTGCCGCTTATAGACGACACCGAGGTCTTCGCGCAGTCGTTGACTCATGTCCGCCGATGCAAGCTGCCGCACATGACGACGATGCCGAGGTTGTTCGTGCAGGTGCTGACGCCAGCTTCCACACGAATTAACCTCAGAAATCATCGGAAAACACAACGGTACTCACGTTAACGTCGCAAAAATCACGGCTGTCTGTTGCCTTTCACGGTCAATCGCGACCAGGACTGACGTTTCAGGTTTTACGCTCCCTGACGGGAATTGTTTTTTCCCCGTTTAGTCTGAAGGCACTTTGGCAAAAAATATGCCACTCTGATTGTTCAGTGTCCAGAAAATGCCTTGTCTATTCACTCAGAGATGGTAGGTTCAATTCAGGATCGTGGAATCGGCATCATATTGACTGTTGCAAACAGATGTTAGAGGCTTGCGCGACTGTTGCAGCTTATGTGTGGCAAATGCAGGTTGCGCGACCTGGCGCGACCTTGCAAGTGCCACGTGGGTAAGCTGCCACGCGTGAGCTGGCAGCAGGCAACAACTGTTGCTTGGTGCTAGAGAGCCTGGCAGGGCCGCAAGTGTCGGCAGCACATTTTTTCAGCCCAAGAATCAACGAACATTTTCCAACCTACTTACACTCTGTGTGTGCCAATGTTACATCCCTGCATTACGAACCGAAGTAGCAAACTGTGCGATACTCTACATCTAACGAGAGTTTTTCTCTTACAAATTCGCTTTTCTATTCACCGATTCGTTGAACGATCGGCTAACAGTCTGCCTTTTGGCACAGTATGTTTTTACGCTTCACCAGAAGTTGCGTAATATACACGACGAATGAGTGTATTTGAGTGTCCCACAGGCCCACCGCGCTTTGCTCATCGGAGGTGGGTATATCGAGAGGAAGGTTCCATGAAACTTCTTCTCGATACACTCGCATCCAGGCACATAATCAATACTATGTAGTAACAGGCCCCGCAAAAAAGAGACTCTAAAGTACATTACATGAAATCGGGGCCCCTAAAACAATAACTCTAAAGCACTCACAGACAACTCTGAAAAATCAACTAATCAGAAAAATCAGTTTCCAGTGCTTAGACACTCTGATTTATCAGAATAATCAAAGTATTTAGTCTGATAGCGTCAGCCCTGATCGCGACCGTTGAAGGCAAGGATTCGGAGTTACAATAGTGTTACAAACTATTAGGATTAGGAACCTCTAAGCACACCTTTAATCCACACTAGGTTGCCCCCTCGGGGTCACCTCCAAGGGTCCTCGGGTGCCTGGTAGAACCAGCCCCTAACCAAGGGTCCGTGTTTGTAGAGGGATTTTCCCAAGCATGAAAACAATCGTGTGCTCAAGAGTAGTCACAAACTCCGTTGCGCAGCGTTAAATGACTGATTGGCTCGTGTGCAGATAATTCCCTTCACGTCAATACGTTGATAGAGAATATTTCATTCACTAAAAAGGTTCACAAAAAGATAGACCACAAACAATCACAAGCAAAGATTTATACTAACCCACCAAAAGCGAAAGCTAACAGCCCACCAAAACAATAGCTGGAACCACACTTCAAAATGACAGCTTTCTCCACGCGAAACAGTGGGAACGTAATCGCCCACACTTAATACTATGGACCATACAGTACTTGTTCGTGAAGCCTCGTGGACGCTCGTGGTGTTTCGTTGCGACCACTCGTGACAGATCACGGAATCTCCTGAAGAAATCGAGCAGTTACACGACGAAATTATGAAGTCACCGAAATCACTCTCGCACAATTCGCACCAGCTTCGAAAGTAAACCGCGCAGCTCGCGAAACACCCCGTAGTAAGGGGAGTATCGAGCAAGTTTGTGTACCCCCTAAGGATAGCCCCTACATAGCCGAGAAATATATGGATATAAAATGTTTTGACACACCCCCATAGGCGAAGTGGGGGATAGCCAGAGCAAGCAATGGTCACATGACCAGTTAAGAGAAACAAACAAAACAAAGCTCAGGGTGGATCACAAAGTCACCACACAGTCCGAGCACAAGCAAGCTGTCAGAATGAGGAATGAATGATGCATTGATGTTGGTTGAGGTACATATAGCTAACCCCCTAAGACAATCCTCACTATAGGCTACAACATTTGACACACCCCCATAGCCTAAGTGAGGGGTGTCTAGCAGAACCAAAAGAGTACGGTCACAAGACCAGTCCAAGAAACAAAGCTCAGGGTGGATCACAACGTCACCACACACTCTGAGCACAAACACCAGTGGCCACAAGGCCAGTCCAAGAACTCACAAGATATACAGCAAATGTACAAGCAAGACAAACAGTCAACTCAAGTCTACACAAGACGAGAACCAGTGTCAACAAGGCCTAACTGCACACAGCACCTCTGGTGGTCACAAGGCGGAAGCGCCTTGGTGAAGATGTCTGCAGTGTTGGCCTCGGACTCCACAAACTCGAAGCGAGCCTGTCCACGTCTCTGCAACTCTCGCAGAAGAAAGTACCTGACGTGAATGTGCTTCACTCTGCTCTCTAGTCGCGGCTCTCGACAAAGGAGAATCGACGCCTTGTTGTCAGTGAACAAGGTCTTCAAGCAAGAACGTCAACCAACGCAACTCCTGTGCCGCCATGGCACCAGCGTAGATCTCAGCCTCAGCTGTAGAGGTCGAGACCGAAGAGGAGCGCGTGGACCGCCAGGAAACAGCTCCAGAACCCAGGCTGAAACAGTACCCTTGAGTAGACCTGTGAGTCTCAGCGTCGTCAGCGTAAGAAGAGTCACAGTGACCAGTAAGTACGACAGACTGCTGCCCTCCAAGAACTAGCCCCACGCCTGATGTCGTCGCTAGGTACTTCGCCACCCTCACAGCTGCTGTCCAGTGAACAGGACGGTGTCTCCCTGGCGCAACAAAGCGCGCAAGGACGCTGAGAGGGAAGGCGAGGTCCGGGCGAGTACAAGTCATCAGGTACATGAGGCAACCCACCAGCTCTGCGTAGGGACCACTAGGCTCAAACGGCTCGTCAGGAAAGGGTCCAGTGAGTCTGTGGTCAACAGCAAGAGGTGTGCGCTGTACTGTGGAGTGCTGAAGCCCGAACCGCTGAAGGACCTGCTGCACCATGTGTGACTGTGAGAGTGTAATGGTGCGAGCAGCTCTGTCCCCGGTGATCTACATGCCGAGGTAGTTGCGCAGCTCACCCAGGTCAGTGCAGATGTGTCTCTTCTGCAGTTCGGACTTCACGTCTGCCAAAGCAACCCTGTCAGCAGTGGCGAAAACGAGGTCGTCGACGTAGACCAGAACAAAGAACGGTGTGGAGCCGCGACGAACGAACAGCGACGGGTCGGCAGAAGACGGCTGGAACCCAAGGTCAGAGAGGGTAGAACGCAGAGTGTCGTGCCACTCACGAGGGGCCTGGCGAAGACCGTAGACAGGTCGCCTCAGCCTCCACTGGGTCCCAGGAGGGAAGGTGCCAGTGAAGGCAGAGGGACGACGCAGCCAGACCTCCTCGTGAAGACTGCCCTGAAGGAAAGCAGTAGAGAAGTCGAGAGAGTGTAACTCGTAGTCTCTCTGTGCTGCTATGTGCAGTAACACCCGAAGAGTGGTCATCTTCGGGGTAGGCGCAAAGGTCTGAAAGAAGTCAACTCCCTCGCGCTGACTGAAACCTCTAGCCACGTAACGCGCCTTGAAGACCGGAGGAGATCCCGGTGGCCGCTTCACCCTGAAGATCCACATGCCGTCGACTACGTTCGCCCCAGGGGGGGGAACCTCATCGACGTAGGTGCCTGTGGATCTGTAGGAGGCCATCTCTGCGTCCATGGCAGCTCTCCACTGAGAGGCCCAAGGCCCTGACACTGCCTCAGCGTAAGTGCGAGGAGTCGGAATGTCAAGGGCGTCTGGGTCACCCTCAGGGGCGAGGAGCATGGCACAGAGATGAGGGGAAGCGGCTGCCAGGAACTCTAGCTCAAACTGCCTGTCCTCTAGGGCGTCACAGCCAAGGGCAGACACACCCCCGACGGCCAGAGGACTGGAAGGAGGAGCAGCCACAAGACCGGTGGCGAAGTCAAGGCGGCGGGTAGAGGCAAACTCAGTGACTGCGGCAGTAAGAGCGGACACAGAGGACACAGAGGCACGAGGGTGAGTAACAAGCGAGGCGAGAACACGAGAGAGAACAGGACGGTACGTGCGGTAGTAGTCAGTGACAGGAGTAGGGAGCGACGCAGTGAGAGCCGACTCAGGAGGAGACGGAAGCACAGACGGAGACGGACGAGGTGGACTAGAACGAAGTAAGGCAGTACGAAGGTCAGTGAAGGGAACAGGAGACGAGGGACGAGCACGAGCCGGCGACGAGAGGCCCAAGTCTGAGAAGGAGGAGGGGACAACGAAGACTGAGAACGAGGGAAAACAGCGGGAGAGGGGTCAGGAGGAGGAAGCGGAGGACCAGAGACGGTGGTGGGAGTGCAGGACCTGGAGAGACGTCTCGTGCAGCGACAGGTGACTCTACTGCGCCTGCTGGTGGTGGCGACGCCCGAGTTCGTCAGTCGCCAGTCCACAAGGCCAGTTCACATGCAGAGTTATAAAGAGCACATGCAATACAGTGATCTCAACCTAGCAAAGGTAAGCATGCAGGTATACAAATATACACAAATATTTATATATCTCGGTACAAAGTAAAGTCAAGTAGTAAGCAAGCGAGGGAGAGTAGGCACAAGGCCTAGGGCAGTGCAAAAGCGCTGATGATCACCAGACACAAGTGCCTTGGTGAAAATATCAGCAGTGTTGGCCCGTGAGGCCACGTAAGCAAGACGAAGCTGACCACGCTGCTGCAACTCTCGTGCGAGGAAGTAACGCAGAGCGATATGCTTCGTTCTGTGCTCCAGTCTCTGCTCCCGACACAAGGCAATCATGGCCTTGTTGTCGACGTACAGGACTGGAGGAGAACGAGGCCGCTCACCCAAGTCGGTCAGCAGATAGGTCAGCCAGCGTGCCTTCTGTACAGCCATGGCCCTCGCGTAGATCCCAGCCTCACAACTGGAGCTGAGAACAGAAGACAAGCGAGTAGACTTCCAAGAAAATGAACCAGAGCCAAGACTGAAAGTGTAACCCTGTGACGACCGCTGAGTCGCCTGGTCGTCAACCCAAGAAGCGTCTGAGTGTCCAGTGAGTACAACTGAACCCCGTCCTCCAAGCACAAGCCCCATGCCCGATGTACTCCACAAGTAATGCAGCACCCCCCTAGCAACCCGCCAGTGCTCTGGTCGGTGCCTCTTGGGTGCAACGTAGCGTGCCAGGATGCTGAGAGGGTACTCGAGGTCAGGTCGTGTGCACGTCATCATGTACATGAGGCAGCCCACAAGCTCTGGATACGGACCACTCGGCTCTACGGACTCGTCCGAAGGTGGAGCTGAGAGCGAGTGGCCTGTAGGCAGAGGAGAACTGGAAGCCGAAGCGCTAAAGGACCTAGTGCACCATGTGTGACTGAGTCAGAGTGATGGTGCGCCGTGCTCTGTCCCGGGTGATCTACAAGTCCAGATAGCTGCGCAGCTTACCGAGGTCAGTGCAGGTGTGTCTCTTCTGTAGCTCCGACTTCACAAGGGCGAGTGCCTTAGTGTCAGCAGTAGCAAAGACCAAGTCGTCGACGTACACGAGGATGTAGAACGGCGGCAGAGAAGTGTCGGTGCGCAGAAACAGCGACGGGTCAGCAATCGAAGGAGCAAAGGCAAGAGCCGCAAGTGTCGTCCTCAGTATGTCGTGCCACTCGCGAGGCGCCTGGCGGAGACCATAGACTGGCCGCCGGAGGCTCCACTGGGTACCCTCAGGAAAGCCAGGTGGGAGGCGCAGCCAGATCTCCTTGTAAAGGCTGCCCTGCAAGAAAGCTGTGCTGAAGTCAAGCGAGTGGAGCTCGTAGTCACGCTGTGCTGCAACGTGCAGTAACACCCAAAGAGTGGTCATCTTCGGGGTGGAGGAGAAGGTGTGGAAGTAGTCGACCCCCTGTTGCTGACTCAAGCCTCGTGCAACGTAATGCACCTTGAAGGTAGGCGGAGAACCCGGCGGTCGCTTCACCCTGAAAATCCACATGCCATCGACTATGTTCGCCCCAGGAGGGGGAATTGCGTCAACGTAGGTGCTTGTGGACTTCCAGGATGCCATCTCTGTATCTATGGCTGTCTGCCACTGAGAGGAGTAGGGACCCGAGATCGCCTCTGTGTAAGAGCGCGGGGTCGGGATGTCTAGTGCATCCGGGTCTCCCTCAGGGGCAAGCAGCATGGCAGCAAGATGAGGTACAGCAGCCGCAAGACACTCGAGCTCAAACTGCCTGTCCTCAAGGACGTTCGTGCCAAGGGCACACTCACTCACAACGAACGGAAGAAAGTCAGACTCAGACTCAGTGACAAGAGTCGCGACGTAGTCGAGACGACACACTACAGCAAAGTCAACAAGCTTAGTGACTAAGGCCGACACAACAGCGGACTGAAAGTAGGGTCAGTGACAAGTGTGGCTAGAACACGCGTGACAGTAGGACTAGCAGCACGAGCAAGGTCAGACTCAGGGTCAGGAACGTCAGGCAGAGAGGACGCTGGAGGAGACGATAGAACAGGACGCTGCACAACAGAGGAAGGACAAAGTGTCATGGTGTGCGTGCCAGGGACAGGTGGAGGACGAACACGATGAGCCCGACGAACAGTGCGAACAGGCGAGGCAACACAAGACGCAGGCTCACGACGCTCTGTCAAGGAGTCTGTCTGCTCAGTGTAAGGAGGAGTGATAGGGGGGAGTCAGGCAGTAACTGTAGCTGAGACGGGTCAGGTGGAGGACACACTAGGGGAGGAGTGAGGCCAGTGGAAGACTAAGAACCTGGTGAAGTGCCGAGCACGGTGGTGGCAGGGACGACTACGGCTGCTGCCAGAAGAACGGTTGTCGTTGCACAGGCTGCGCAGAACCCCCAGTACCAGAACCTCCAGCAGCTCCAGAACCTCCAGCTCTAGTACCTCCAGTACCAGTAACTCCAGCTATAGAACCACCAGCTCCAGTACCTCCAGCACCAGAGTCTCCAGCTCCAGCACCTCCAGCTCTAGCACCTCCAGCTCCAGTACCTCCAGCACCAGAGCTGCCATTTCCAGCACTTCCAGCACAAGTACCTCCAGTACCAGCACCTCCAGCTCCGTCAGACTCGGACGCAGGAACTGGCGGCGCCAACCGCCGCTGCTGCCGGTGCAAAGGGCGGCGCTGCAGAGGTGGCAAAACACTAGGAGAAACTCCAGTAGGAGAATCGAAGACCCCACCACCACTAGGACGCTCATCACCCCCAGAACCCGCACCTCCAGACTGAGCACCTCTAGAACCAGCACCCCCAGAACCAACACCCCCAGAGTCCACGCCTCCAGTATCACCACCCCCAGTAGCTCCGAAGTCCACAGCGACAGGCTGCAGAGGCGGTGAAGACGGTCGAGGAGGAAAACCAGGACGGGTCTCCAAGCGCGGTGAGTGGCGAGCAGCCACTGTGTCGTCAGCAGCAGGGTCACCCCCCTCAGCAGGGCCAGAGGTGTCAGAGGAGACCTCCAAATGCCCAAGCAAGGGAGGTGGGTCAACCTGAGACATACCTGAGGGATTAGGGCTCTGTGGGGGGAGCGGGTCTATCGGGGGAGGACCTGGCACCAGGAAGAGAGGCGGGGGGGGGGGGGGGAGGGGAGTGTTAACGGGAATGGAGTGTTGGCCCCGCCCTCGCTTGGGCGACGCCGACGTCCGGGTCGGATGTACAGGAGAAGCAGCTGACCGTATGCAGTGAGGGAGCTGCTCGACGGGCTTCGTCGAGCTGCAGGAGATCGCTGCGGGGTTGCCGTGGACTAGGGGTGCTCGACGACCTTCTTCTGCGGGGTAGGGTGACGAGGTGGTCGTCGACCTGCACAGGACTGTCGCGGGGTTGGAGCCGTCGACCAGGGAAGCTCGATGGCCGCAACTGGTCGAGCTGGTTGCGGACGGGCCGTCAACCAGGAGGGCCAGTTCGACAGAAGTTGTGGTCGACGAGGGGTTCGTCAACCAGGGCTCTTACTGAGGAGAGAACTCAATCAACGGGAGCTAGACTACGGGCTAGGCACGGATATGAGTGTGATCTCTGCGTTCGTTCCTTAGTCGTTTCCTTGTGCTCTCACTACTTGATGGTTCACGGGGAATTTTGGGAAGAGTTTCACTAGCAAAAGTTCACAACAATGGTAGCAACAATATTGGCATGCAAGACTACATCCCAGCTAGCTAGCAAGTTGGTCGACCTCCAGCGCAGCTTGGTCGACCGCCTTCCAGCGCAGCACTGCTCGCACCGCTCCAGCGCCGCAGGGACGCGGCTTGCCAACGTTGCAAGTCCGTGGTGTGCCAACGCTGCAGCAAGTTGGCTGCACAGCGTTGCACTCGAAGGGCAACGACGCACCTGCTTCGCAGGTGCGCGCGGCTGATTGGTGCTCCACGCCCTGTCATGAGCACAGCGCAGACGTCCGGCAGAGTCCACGCCAGCGACTGCGCCCACCAGCCACGTCGACCTCGGAATACCATCCCCGAGGTTGATATCGTAGAGGCCACCTCGGCGACCATCGCACACCTCCGCAGAAGCTCCGTCGCCCGGGTAACACGGTCGACCGGGCAACCAGGTCGGTGCCGGCAGGTCGTTGTCCTCCCTGGTCGGCGTCCCCTCGTCGACCACTTCAGGGCCGGGCCACCGACTTTGCCAAGTCGTCGGCCACCCCAGGTCGGCGCCCCGAAGTCGGTGCCCTGCCATGTCGGCCTCGCCAGGTCGACCACCCCTAACTCGGCACCCTGCGAAGTCGGCGCCCACGAAGTGGCCCCAGTGTAGATCGACCAACCTCGTCGACCGGCGCGCCCACTGCTGCAGGTCGGCTGCTTCCCCCGCACATCCGACCAAGACGTCGGCTCCGCCCAAGCGAGGACGGGGCCTCACAACAACTCCCGTTGACACTCCCCTGCCGTGTTCACGCTTGGGCCCCCAGCCCACACAGCAGCACTGCTCGGAGAATATCTCGGTGGCGTGCACACAACACACAGCACGCCGGTCACCGCACCAGCCATGCAAGAGGGCATGGCACCTACTGCTGCACGTCGTCGTCGCCGCCCACGTCAGCAAGTTGTACTTGGCCGATTGCGACGGAGCACCGGTTGAAGGCCGGATAGTGCAGCGCCTTCGTCAGAAAGTCGGCCGGCTGCTCGGTGGTCGGAATGTACTTCAGCGTGAATTTTCCGCGCTTTACACCGCGCTTTAGGCTTGTCACCGCTCCATGTGCTTGAGGTTGCCCGTCAACCCCATGCCCTCAGCGACCGTGATGGCCGACTTGTTGTCCACCCGAAGGACAGGCGGCATCCCGACGTCCAGCTGCCGGAACTCTGCGAGGAGGAAGCGAAGGCGGCGTCCCTCCTTGCCGGCCTTGGTTTCCGCCACGTACTCCGACTCGGTCGAAGACATTGTCGCGCACTTGATGCGCTGGCTCGACCAGGAGACCGCGACCCCTCCGCAAAAGACAAACACGTAGCCGCCCGTGCTCGTCCGCTTCTGCTTGTCGCCGGCGTCGTCGGCGTCCACATAGCCGACCAGCTGTAGCGACTCTGGTCCACTTCCTAACTTCAGGGCGGTGTCTTGGATGTTGGCAAGGTAGGCGAGGCAGCGGTCGACCTCGCGCCAGTGCTGGTCGCTCCTCACCGTGAGGCCGCTGCCCAGCTTGCTACAGGCGAAGGCAATATCTGGCCTCGTCGTCGTCGCCGCGAACTGCAGTGAGCCGACCTTCTGCCGGTACTCCTCCTCCTGGCGCTCCTGTGCCTCCTTGTCGTCGAACGTAAGCTCGGCGTAGGCGTCGATGGAGACCGGCGTCTTCGGGGTGCGCCCGGTCTGCTCCTCGTCGATGAAATGCCTGTGCAGCTTGTCGGTGTAGCCCTGCTGGTGCAGCCACAGCTTCCTTGCCGGCCTGTCGCGCACGATCTCCAGCCCGAGGTACTTCTGCACCAGCAAAATCTCGCGCAGCTCGAAGGCGGCCTCCAGCAGCTTTTTCAGCTCCTTCAGCATCACGGTGCTGCTGCTGGCGGCGAGCAGGTCGTCGACGTAGACCAGCACCCAGCAGGCCACGCCATCCCCGCCGACCTTGAAGTAGAGAGCCTCGTCAACCTGGCTCTTCTTCCACCCGGCGCCGACCAGCACGTCGTTGAGCGCCTTGTACCACAGTTGCAGCGACTGCTTCAGCCCGTAAAGGCTCTTCAGCAGCTTGCACACCCGGCCGGTCCCGTCGTTGAAGTAGTCGGACTGGTACATGTACAGCACCCGGTCGAGCTTACTCTGCAGGAAAGCGTTCTTCATATCGAGCTGCATCAGGTTGAGGTCGAGGACGACGACGATGCTGAGGAAGATCCTCAGCGTGACGTAGCTGCTCACCGGTGCGTACGTCTCGTCGTAGTCAGCGCCATACACCTGCGTGAAGCCCTTCACGACCAGCCTCGCTTTCTCGCGCTCGACGGTGTCGTCGATGCGGTACTTCGTCGTCAGCATCCACCAATTCTTCATGATGTTCACCCCCGGTGGGCGTTCAACTAGCTACCACGTCCCCATGCTGATGAGGCTGCGGATCTCCTCCTCCATGGCGGCCTTCACCGCCTTGCCCTTCCAGCTCGCCAATGCCTCCTTCATCGTCAATGTGGCAATGTCCCAACGATGCTCGGGGTCGGCGTGCATGTCGGGGCCGAGATCTTGCAGGTCATCATCCTCATCGGCATCGTCGTACGACAGGTCGTCGTCGTTGACGTCATACACAGTGGTGAAGGCGGCTGGAACGAAGAAGTGTTGGGTGCAAATTCATATTGCACGACATCCTGCCGTCTGTTTGTACGAGTATGCGTGTGCGAATGCATTTGGGTGTGAATGGAATGTTCGTGTGTTTGTTTGCTTTCGCAATTTTCGCTTGATGCATTTGCAGGTACTCGCGCAATGTGCGCTTCGGCACAACATTGTACGCGCTATGAACAGTGCAAGCAGAAAGGACGAGCTCGCAAAGGAACCCAGGATGGAAGCTTTGCGGTTCGGTTGAGTTGATTGCGCAGATTCAGTTCTATCCAACTCGAAATTGTACTGTTTTGCTTGGTTGACTATAGTGTAGTAGGGCAGGCACTATAGGGGTACAATTTGGGTGAAGGTTGGATGTTCTTTGTCTGTATCTGCATGCTACAGGGCCAGGGGAAACCAGCGGAACCAGCATTTGGCTGGTTGGGCAAAGACAAAACAGGTTCTGCTTTTAGAACCTGAACCTGGTTGTTGTTTTCCCAGGTTGGAAAAACAGAACCAGAGGTTGTTTACCAACCTACCACCTGCTATTTTGTCCAGCCAGGTTGGTTCTGTCGCTTGGAATTATTTGGGATCATCCCTGGTTATTCCCAGGTTGATTCCTAAGGTCCTTGCTAGCTAGAACTATTTAATCCTTCTCTGTTTGTACCTGAATATAGTCAAATTGATTCATGCAAATTCCTTCTCGCTGGAATTTCGTTTCTACGCGGTTCGTTGGCGGAATGCTACCCGAGTCAACGCTAGTACGCTAGCACTCCAACGCTAGGCAAACGCTGTCCGAGCCAGAACTTAGTAATGGCAGAACTTTTCGCGAGGCAACTTGGCTTATTTTAAAGCTCTTGGAGCGAGCTTCAATATAGCGAATTCTCAGCTTTATCCGATCGACGGTCTGCACGGCACGCTGCGCGACGTTCAAGGTACTCTTGCTGTTTTGACTAAGTCCTTCTTGATCCCTCTCTCTACAAACTCGGACCCGAGGATAGGGGCTGGTCTTGTACCAGGCACCCAAGGACCCTTGGAGGTGACCCCGAGGAGAGGTATTAAGTTTGATTAAGTCCTAATAGCTTGAGTTTATTAGGCCCCGAGACCAACAAGCTGGTATCAGAGCTGCGCTATAGTGATCCTCGTTATAGGTAGCTATGGCGGGCAACACCTCGGCGGGAGCTGGTGAATCTTCAGCCCAAGATCGTAGCGGCAGCCAAGATTCTGGTGTTTCGGCGCCAAGGGGAGCGCGAACCAACCAGGGCTCGCTGATCAAGGAGGTGCTGAAAAATTTCACCGTCGAGAAGTTCAATGGTGAGGGCTATGATGATTGGGCCTGGAAAATGCAGCTTTACTTCCGTCAGATTGGATTGCTGAAACTAATGATTGGGGAAGAGCCTAGACCGAGTGACCCCGCGCTGCAGGAAGATTGGGACGAGCGCGCATCGGCTGGCTACTACTTGATGTCGCAGAGTTTGGAGCTAAACCAGCGTCACCACGTCATGCACCTGCTGCCGGAGGTTGATTGCGGTCCAAAGGCGTGGACCGTGCTGAAGGAGCTGCACGCTCCTACCTCCGTCGCCGCGACGCTCATGATGGAGAGGGAGCTGTCCGCGTTGCGATTGAGCGAGGGAGAGCCGGTGCAACCTGTCCTGGACAAGATGCGCGACCTCTACGCGAAGTTGGCGACCGCGGGAATCACCTACCCGGAGCAGACCAAGTGCCTGAAGATGCTCTCGCTGCTGCCTGAATCGTGGCTTCAATTCACGAGCGGATTGAGCCTGCCGCAGAA